ACAACCAAACAAAAACTCCATCTGTTCTTCCACATCTCTCTGGTGTCCCTGATCAGCACTGAACACAAATTGGCCCCTATTTCTCAACAAGGCCTGCAGATATCTTCATCATATCATTAACAATAATCAGTCTTTTGGTATTACGCTATAACATACTGTAACAGCAGAGCTAAAAAAAAAAAAAAAAGCTATTGGATCAAATACGATTTTCCAAGAAACAAAGCTTCAGGTATATCATCAGCTCTCTTCCTAGTTTCTCATACACAATAGGAGTAAAAAGAGAAATTGCTTCATATGCCCATACATCTAACAATGAACTATTTTTATATTTCCTTTCCTTTCTGTATGGATCACATATCCACAAGGGCTAATATATCACGTCCCTTGAGGTTACATTTCTGTCTGCAGTTCTATAGTGTTATTTCCACTGTGCTTCAGTTCTACTGGTATAATCACAACCATGTATAATGTACTTAATCCTTACTTTTTAAATAAACCATTTTAAATGTATTCATATCTGTGTGCAGAAAGGTATATAGATTCTTTTCTTCCAGATTCTCTGAGCTGAGATTTCTGTTTATTTTTTCATGTTTCTACCTATTTTGATTGCAAAATGTTACTGGAAGCCAATATATCACAGGAGAAAAAACTATTTTCATGGTCCCATGGACCACAAAATCTCCAGGGTAAGCTATCTTCATGATATTTCCAGTCATTTGTGTTGGAAATTGAGAAAAACCTTCTAGTTTCTAGCTTAACCTTGGCCCATGAGAGACACACTCTGGTTTCAGTGCCCAGTTTGAGGCTGGTGTGGTGGCCAGAGGCACTGCAAACCACCATCAAGAAAAATAAGCCAGTGTCTTCTGAAGCGCTAGCCCCAAGCCTGTGCTTTGCCTCCACCTTTTGAGGTTTCACACGAGTTCACTTCAGAGCATCCTTCTCTCCCTGATCTTGTCCGTTTTGCCTGGGGAAAGCTCGACCCTGCGTGCTGAAGCTCCGCGAAAGCCACGCTCTGATGGCCACCGGAAAATCCCGGCGGTGCCGAACATGGGTCAGCAGTTCGCAGCGTCTCGCCGCTCCCAGACATCCTGAAACATCTCTGTATCAGAGACAATATTTCTCCTTCAAATACTTCTTTTAACCTTAACTCCCAGTTCCTAAGCCTCCAGATTGCCTCTAAAGGTGAAGGCTGATGCGTATCTCCATGCGCCTGCCTCTCCCCGTACGTAGGATCAATGGGCACGGCTGGAGGGAGGCAGGGCATTCATCTTTCCAAATGCCTCTGACACCTGCTAGTGAAGCCATTTAAAAGCTCAAGCCCAAAGCTGAGTCCCTTTCCCTGAAGGAAAATAAATAAAGGCTCGTGGGTAAATAGTGACGCCACGAGCTGTGGCTGCCCCGCTGTGAGCGGGGATGCATCAAAAAGTGATGTTGTTTGAGGGGGAAGCAAAAACAAGAGTCCTTAAGGCTTCAGAAAGTGGAAAAGAGTCCAGCGAGGAGGATGTGGCATTTCCTTGGAATAAGAAAACTAACAAACATGGGAGGTGCCGAAAATAAAAGGGAATGAGGAGTGCTCTGCACCTGTCTGCGAAACGGCTCGTCCTACAAACGCCCGCCAGTCGCCTTTTTTTTTTTACGGGAATGGAACTGCGGATCGGCCGTGCGGCACAGCTGGCCCTGCCTGTGCTCCGGGGGGCTCCGGGGGCTGCGGGACTGGCGCTGCGGAGAGGCTGGGCTGTGTCCAGTGGTGCGGGGTCGTATCTCCTTCTTCACACCCACGGGAGTCTATTAAAATAACAAACCAACCAAAACACACACACACATATTTTGCTCTTTGCAGGATTTCAGCCCCAGGACTAGGGAGTTTTTGGAGGGTGCCATTGGTGGGTATCAGCTACGCAGAGCCGACCGTGATCATGGTGGTCCCACCACGCTGGGGAAATGCAGAGTCAGGAGCTCGACTATTGCTAAAGAGCTCACATTTGAAGAAGGCTGTTTGCCTGAAAATATGTTTGAGCTGAGAGCAGACCAGGTGCACTCTCCTGTGCTCTGGGTTAGTCTCACCTGGGAAGAGTCTTCTGCAGAACATCATTCTGCAAGACGGGAACTGCAGAATTTGGTTAACCTGGTTGTGGTGAATACTGAGGCTGGTCTGGAAGAAATATAGAAAAGAGCAAGTGCTGGGGAGCAGAGCCAAGCCAACGCCTCTGCTAGGGACAAAATACTGCAATAGTTGGTCTTGAGACACCTCCGTTAGCATTTTCTTCAGTAGAGAAACATAATTGTGTCTCTCACTCCCTGCTACTGAAGTGCAACTAATTACAACCCTCCCGGCTTCCCAACAGGTCCTCATTAATAGTCTGTTTCTATTTCATGTGATACTGATTTTTAAATGTGAATACTCACTAGTGACGCAGGGAGACTGCAGGAACCATTATGTGCCACGGTCTTCTGATGTGCAGGCAACCTTTGGGGTTTGCTTTAGTCCTTTGCTCCTCCAGAAACCAGTTTTGCTTCTGCATTTGTCAGATGCCCACCCAGCCCCCCAGGGAGGGCAACTTCACCTCCACCCTGGGACAGAAGTTTCCCGGCTGGGGACAGAGGCTTAGCCCATGGGCAGAGGAGCCTTTTGGCTTTCACCATGGCTGTTGCAGGGACCACAAGTGGTGATCACCAAATACCTGCCCACGGTCGCCACACACACCCCGAGCCTGTGCCAGGAGGAGCAGGCAGCAGTGCCCGTGTAACACGGCTATGTCAGTTCAGGTACCAAACCCACCGAGCCCATGGGGAGAACACCAGAAAACAGTTTCTTTCCCAGAGATCGGTGGCTCTAGGTCACTTTTTCTGGGCTGGGGACAATGTTTCACCTTAGCAGCTGTAATGTGAGTTTTCAGTCTCCAGGGAAGCCACCGCCGCTCACATTGAAGCTCCTTGTGTCTCATTCACACTCCCAGCTGTGCTCCGCAGGGGAGGGAAGGATGGATTTTTCCCTTCTGATTTCACTTTAGTTGTTTCCTGGGTATTATTAGGAAACTCAGAACAAAACAAAACCCTGAGAAACTTATCCAGATCAGAGTACCTAAATGAGAACAGAAACCGTGATTCTTGCCAAAGCTGGAAGAGACACAAGCACCAACACCAACAAAAAAATTGAGTTCCCACCCCTGCAGTCCTTGTAGATTGTAATTAGTCTAAAGCACCATAATTAGTGCTTGCTTCCTCAGCAACCAGAACCTCACTTTGTGCCCACATTTGCAAACACACGTTCACTTCCTTACACTCCACTTGCAGAGGACCCGTGGAGTTTGTAGCATCAAGGATGCGAAGTCGGGATGCAGCTCCCAAGATCGACTGATGTCTAGTGAAATGCAACAAGAGACTACTTCAAAAGAAAAGGCGTTACATTTTTAATGCATTCCTTTTCTGGTTTAAGGTCTGTTCCCTTTAGGATTTTCCACTTTCATGAGAACTCTTGGTTCTGGTTTAAATGTAAGCTTCTGCTATTTCTCCCAGTCCCAACCCGGCATATCAGAGTCCTACGCAGAGCTGTGAGCATCTTCCTGCAGATGTGCTGGCGGTCCCTGGTCTCTGCTTTGCCCCATGTCCCCAGCACCCTCCCCAGTCCCCTTCCCCTTCGATTTCACACCACATAACTTTGCTCCTTCCCACAACTCCCACCTCTCCGGCAGGACCAGGGCAGCAGATGCCCATACCAGGTTTAGACATGTCACCCTGCTCCCAGGGGTGTCTGAGCCAGCCCAGTCACACATCAAGCAGAGTAATGTTAACCCCTTTAAGTCATATTTTAATTATAGTTATTTTGGATAATTATTTTTTAACTTACTCTTTATTTTCTCTCCCTTTCCTACACTCCCCTTTCACCTTAACTCATCACTTCAGGTTGTCCTCATTAATTTGAGCTGACCCCTCTGCACCTTTATTTTGACATTAAATCAGGTCATTCATAAAACAGGACTGGAGTAGCTTTGACATTATCTTGCCGTGATAACACGATATTTACAGCTTTCTACTGACATTTTTTTAGCCATTCTTTTGACATTCAGTGACTGTCACCCTCCTCAGAGTGCTATCACAATTGTAATGTCACCTCCACGGTAGCCTCTGCATTGATATTGTCATCGAATTAGCTTTATGATCCGCTGAAATATCAAAGGGAAGAGGAGAGCTTGGCCTCAGCTCAGGCAATCTGAGTTCAGGGCAGCAGAAGTCACTTCTGAAAGAAAGGAAGGACGTGCCGGGTGGCTGCCGGAGTTACTATTGCATCGAGGCAAACCCAGTTGGTGGGAAAGCAAGCAAGCATTGGAGAGGTTTTGCATTAGAAAAAGTAGGCAAAAGGCAAAAAAAGACCCTGCAAACAAAAAAAAACAGACTACTCAGAATACTTCAGGTTAATTAAAAAATAATTATGATTAAAATAAACAATATAATAAAAACATTTGCTTATTTTGCCACTTTCTTCGCGCAGCAGCGCTCGGCTCTGGAGGCACGTCCAGCTCCGAGCTCCTTGCAGAGGCTGCCGCGAGCTGAAGCCGTGGGCGCGCGGTTTGCGGGCTCCGGGGCTATTAAACTATTTAGGATCAGATTGAACCCAGGCCCGACACTTTTATAAACACAGATGTTTTTATAGCCTCGCTGGAAAGTTAATCATCCTATTAATGCCTATTTCTGGGCATGTCGCGAGTCAGGAGATTACAGCCTCCGAGCAGCGGCTGTAGCGACTCCCGGCGGGGGCCTGCCCGCTCCGCCCCCGGAAAACAAACCCGACGGGACGGGGTAGAAAGCTGAGCTCTGCCGGGCGCTGCGCTCGTTCCGTGCATTAATAGCCCCCTCGCTGCGCCGGCTGACACAGCCCAGCAGCTGTCTGCGGCCGCCCCGCGCTCCCCGGGCGGCACGGGGCTGACATTTGCGAACGCTCGGATGCGCCAGGATTTCGGGAGACCTCGTGAATCACCCACCGCGCTCCGCCGGGAGCACAGGTCCGCAGCGGGATGGACGAGAGCAAACCCCTGAAGGTCCGGCTGACGTTCTCCGTGATCCTGGTTGGCGTCTCGCTCCTGTTCGCAGCCGTAGTGACTGACCACTGGGCCGTGCTGAGCCCCAAAGTGGAGAACTATAACACCACCTGTGAAGCGGCTCATTTCGGGCTATGGCGACTCTGCACAAAGCGGATTTTGATGCAGGAGGAAGGTCCCAAAGAGAAGGGCTGTGGGCCGATAAGCCTGCCAGGAGGTAGGTGACCACCCACCACTGCACGGGAGAAAGCACCAGGCGGTCATGCCACGCTTTGCTTAGGAGGTTGCAGGACGTGGCAGAAGGAAAACAGGGTCCGTGTCCCACAGCACTTAGTTTGGGATGGGGCTGCAGGGGGCTGTTTTCATGCTGGTCTGCAGACACACCTCGTCGTCATCCCTCTTGCTGTACGTGTGCTGTGCTGCTTTGCACGTCTCTTTGTGACCATACTGGAGTCTCCTGTGCAACAGTGACAGTGGCAAGGAGAAGGGGAGGAGGATCAGACACGGTGGAAATCGCAGAGGGAAACTGGGATGGAGGAAATTTTGCTGGCATCAGTCGAGGGTCCTGCAGCACCCACACACGCTGACAGCAGCGGGCAAGAAAGAGGATTTATGGGTCCACCATATGTAGCTGGATCCTTGGGGTTTTCAGATCCATATAGCTACGAAAGAACAGCCCGTTGGTGGTTGGCGTTAGGTTCTCTCTGAGCTATTTCAGTAACAACCGCTCCTCAGGGCAGGGAGGAAGAGGGACCTGCAGTATGTTTTGCCAACTTCCAAAAAAAATTCGTAAACTGAGTTCAGAGCGACATCTCAACGACTTTCTGAGCCTCCTCACCTCTGGGCGGAGGCAGCCCGGTCCCGCACACGTCTCCATCACAGGTTCCTCCAGTGCCACCGACAGGGAGGGCAGCACGGGAGTGGGCACGGCTGCTTTCCGGGAAGCCGGTTACATTCCCATGGTGAAAGGAGCTCATTATGTTTTTGCTGATCGCAAAGTCAGCAACATTCGCGCCGCGTGCGCTAATACACTCCATCCGTGACCGAGCTACGCTGCTTTTTTAGAAGGCTCATAGGGTACTGGATGCTTTCCAGAACAGAAATAACAGGATTGCTTTCATGTTAGACTCGCTGCTTGAAACGAAGTATATATGTTAACAGATATTTGAAAATTTCCTGTGAAAAATCTTACTGCCTGGGCTTACTGTATATTCCCTGTATTACTGCAATTCTTGATCTCTTTGGCCAAATTACATGCTCGGAAGAGAGGAGCTCAGCCGCAGCGTTCAGATCTGCCTCTAACCAAATTTGGGAGTGTGTCATCCGTATGCTTCATGTCTCTCGCGAAGGTACTTACGTGCCTGGAGACATATTGCTCACTGTACGCCTTCCCTCGCATGCGGAGGGAAACTCCCACAAAAGGAAAAAACAATAGAAATCGGTGGATAAACACAAAAATTGCACAACTGCAGGGTAAATATAAAACGCATAAATATCCAGCTGTCTGCAAAAAGCAGATTCCCAGGCAGGGCAGCATGAAAGCAGCCACTATCTTTGATAGACATCAGCATGTGCTGGCACAGGCATTGACCCATGTCCCAGCGCTGCCGCTCTGCCAGGCACGGGGAAGAGCCGGGTGACAACGAGGGGCTGCGCCACCCGCCCCACCCTGGAGGTGGTTTTCCAGTTTTTAAAGATATTTGGGAATTCGGATGACAGCCTGCATCGTAATCAGCATCCAAGCTCTCCTCGATTACGATATAAATATTTTCCTTCCCATTTCCCTGCACCAGGGATGCGGTGAGGGGTGGGGGAAGAGCAGAGCCCCCGTGGGTTCGGGCTGCTGAACGCTGCTGCACGGCTCACGTTGCGCTGATTTCCCACTTTTGGGAAGAGATGTCGGCAGGGAAACACTGGGGCTGGGAAACCTGCTGCGGTCGGGAAAACGTGAATGAACAAACGTGCAGTGAAAGAGCAGATGTGGGCACCGGTTTTCCTGAAAATCATGAGACATAAGCAGACGTTCCTGCCAGGACTGGAAAAGCAGCATCAGAATTTATCACTGCATTAATAGCCATTTACCAGCCGCTCCCTGAGGAGGAAAGGGATGGCACGATTAACGTTATTTATTAGGTTTGGAGCTCAGCACAGCGCAGAACGGGGAGGATGACTTGGCTCGCAGTCCGCGAAGCGGGGCTGGGATTTAGGCAGAGCTTTAAAATTTTACAACGCTTTTCCGAGGATGTTGACAAATTGGAAAGGGTTCAGCATCCCGCTGTAAGAAATAAAAAGATCAGGGAGATGGCTGTTAAAACTGGGCAAATTCAGATTAATGCTGAGACGTCGTTAACGGCGGTCAGCGGGCACCGGGGCAGGTTACTACTGGTTGTACACTGAGTTCGCCTTCACTGCCACGAACTCCGCGTAGGTGTTGTCCGACAAAGCGGGCTGGTGCGTGCCGGCACCATGGGCAGCAGCGGGGATCCTCTGCAGCCTGTGTGTGCTGCCAGTGGGTTAAATGGGTCCTTGGAATTATGGGAACCTGAGTTCAGGCAGCTGGAGAGGAAAACAGGCTGTCAGCAGGCAGAGGTTGGCTCTGCAGGAATTGGCCTCCTCGCCTCCGCACAGTGGTCATCCACGAACGGTGGAGCTGAAGGGAAGGAGGGCTGTAAGGGTGGGTGACTTGAAAGGGGGAGGACACCATAAGATAAACCACGTTACAACCCTGAAGTTCACCCAAGCCTTAATGACCACGGAGCCCCTGGACTGTTCTCATCAGGACACTGGGGCGAACTCGTGGCAGAGATAATGCAATTAGGGGTGGAGAGAAACAAAGATTGCCACACAGATTTCATCCATTATAAAACCCATTTTAAATCCTATCCATTATGTAAATGTGGTGTGACACAAATGGGCTCTTCTCTTATTCATGATGACACCAGAGAAGCATTGAAGTGTCTCGGTTCCCTTCAATAACAGAGAGCCTTGTTGAAATTGATATTCCCAGCTCAGCAGAGCACCGAAGCATCTTTAAACTGAAAATAATATATCACTTCACCAAAAACAATCTAGTTATATTTTCCCAGAATAAATGCATTTTCCAAAAAACACCTCCCCCAGAGCAAACCAACTCCTGTGATAACCCCATTCATCGTACCTTGGCAGAGCTTTGCTGTAAGCCAAGAGACACAGAGGCAGCTCCTCTTCCTGCAGATAAGTCCATCCCTAAAAGGTTTTGTGGGCTTCCCCTCTGCTGAGCCTTCAAGGGCGGGAGGGTGGACTGGGCTGGTTTGGGTCACCTGCAACGGATACGAAGCCATTCTGCATCCCCCATCGCACCACGTCTGGATGGCTTCACCGTGGGCTTTGTACAGTCAGCACGCCTGGGAATACCTTTGAGTTCAGCCTCAGAGAATTAATTAAGAGCCAAACCAAACAATTCAAGATAAAGTGTCCCAGTTTCATCCCATCTCCCTCCCCGTTAGCCCAGGAGCCAAAGGATCCCCATGCTGGATGCTCAGCCTCAGCCTCCGCCAGTTGCTGGCCGAGTCATGCAGCTCCGCTCTGGGGCTCAGGATTCCCAATTTCACCCATAGAGGTCGGAGTTCAGATATGTTTCCTTCAGTCGTTTGCAGGGATAATAAAGAACAGGTCAGAAGATGCCAGAGCTGAACGTTAACCCAGTCTCCAGCGAGGAGAAGCTGCAGATGACATAAAAGCCATCTCATAAAATTAACTAGATCAGAGCGTCTCAAAGGAATCTTCTACTAACAGGCCAAAAAAAGCTGCTTTACAGCTGCTTGTCTCCTGGGGAAGAGAAAATAAATCCTGCTTGGTTCAGTAACTCCAAAATCTACCATTTACATGACAGAAAAAAACCCACAAGAACCAACAGGTAACATACAATATGCTGGTATCTTCTTGCCACCTGAAATTACTGCTGTAAATAACCTCTGAAATGCTGTATTTGCAAGAAACCTTGCCTGGTCCTGCACCTGGGACCTGGCTCAGGCTTGACCCCACGGCCACGGACTGCGCTGGAGCAGCCTGGCCCAGCCTGGATGTTGGAGAGGACCACAAAGTCCTGCCAGACTTTCTCCCAGCATCTCCTGGAAATGGGTAACTGTGCTATCTAAGGGACAAGCCTGGTGTTAACCAAGAGGCCCCTCGTTTCTCCTGCAACCTTGGCGTGATGTCCCGGTGTGGTGGGAGCCCAGCCCGGTGTGCAGGAGGGGTGCAGGAGGGTGTCCTCTCCAGCCCAGCTCAGCAGAACGGTGCGATCAGAGCCAGCACTGCTCAGCACATCTCTGCTCTCGCGCCCTCCCAGCCGAATGCCTGGTGAGCAGCTGCTCTCCCAGCTCCGTGCCCCTTCAAACCTTCAGTTGAATCAGCTATAAATAGCGCCAACATCCTCCACCCCAACCCCGCTGCTGCCAGAGCTTCGAGCCAGCAGGTCCTCACCAGCCACCTCCCGTCCTGCTGGGGCTGAAAAGGCTGTGCATCCACCGACAGCAATGACATCTCTTCGCTGTCCGACCCTCACTACGCTGAGTATGAAACAATATCACAGTTGTTGTTCTGGCTACCAACTTCCCTCCTCCAAGCATTCTCCAGCCCCACACTCCTGATCCCTATTGACTCTCTAACCCCTCTATGAACAGCCCGTGCACGTGGCAGCACGCTCACATGAAGTCCAGGTAGAGGAACTTCATAAAGTTCTCGCTATCTGACTCTGCTCTCTTATCAAATTAATTTAGCAGCCTGCTCTGACGGGAGGGGAGTTCGGTACAGCCAGGTTTCCTGAGAGCCTCCTCCGTGCCCTTGACTTGTTTGGCTCTGATCAGCCTTCCCTTCCCTGACAATTGTTTGTGGCTTCAGATAGCTTTTGTCTTTTTGGTCAGACGGCAAACAAAACAAAGCCGTCAGCACCCCTATTGTTGTAAAACACCGTGTCCTTTGCTGCATCGCAGCAGCCTCATCTCCAGGACCCCCGTAGCGTGGTGACATCTCCCATCCATGCAGCAAACTCCCCTGGGCTGGTCCCCGCTGCCAGCCGCTGTTACGCCAGGTTCTGCGAGCCGGAGGAGGGATGAGCTGGGAGGGAGAAGGTGGATGGGGACCTTCCATCTTCCCTTCTTGCAGTCCAAGCCCACCAGAGGAGCAGTGACCCTCCTACGGCTGATGGGGTAATGTCACTACGGAATGGGTTGGCAGCGGCAAGGGGAGGTGAGCTGAGATGCCAGCTCAGCTGCGGGCACGGCAGGTCTCATCACCAGAAAATGCAGCTACAGAGAGAGGCAGGAACGTGTGATGGCCAAAGACAGAATGAGAAAAATTATCTGTAATTCGTATTTTAAATAGATGAGCAATCAGCGTGCAAAGCTCTCGGAGGGAGCAGCCCACAAAAGGTATCAGAGAGGGCTTCAGCCTGGTCCATGCTGGAGCCAGTGGCTTGGCATGTGTGCGCCATCCATCTGCTCCTGAATGAAACAGATCCAACTCCAATTTCTCAGTACCACCAAAGGTAGAGAACCTTAAAAACTTTGCAAGTTTGATACATCAATAAAAAGCAAATTCTGTTTTATCAGAGGTTTCCGAGCACACAGAATCAAATTTCCTTTTCTCTTTCAGAACACAACTGCTCCTACTTCAAGCACTTCACACCAGGACAGAGCTCAGAGATATTTGAAGTAACCACCCAGAAAGGTAAGGATGACCCTGAAAAATGTTTTACTAACCTTATATGAACTGAGGTGCACATGAGATCTGAGGTCAAGGGGTCCCCAAAATGAGGGTTCAGCCTCGCTTCCGCTGAAAGCAGTAGAGGAATTTCTATCAGATACCATCAGCCGGGAAAGATGTAAAAAATGCTCTGAACAAGGTCAAATGCCACCTTCCTGGGAAGGGGGATTTTTATATATGATCACACTCCTAAGTGTGATTTTACAAAAAGTTGTCCCATAAATATATAACAATGTCAATACACATGAAAATGAGAAAAAGTCTTTTCAGCATAAAAATGACTTTGGAACATTGGCACTATCCGCACCACTCCGAGCCTTCGCCATCGAAAGAAGAAGATATTAATAAAATCTAAATGAATAAATCATACCCCAAAGCAGAGTCCTGACCCTGAAAAGAAGTACAGAGACTCTGTGAGGACCATTAGGAATTTTATGCTTCATATAGATTTTATATGAAAGTCATGTAAAAACCAGAGCAATCAATGGAAGGAAGGAACAGAGATCCTACAAAGACACACACAGTCGGTGTTTACGGAGCGTAGACAAATTTCACGTTTCTAATCAGTCCCTGATAAGGCCAAATATTTTTAGCCCTCATCTAACGTGTTCCTCTCGCTTTCTCGCCCTCTCATTGAGGACAAATTCCTTTCTAGTCTGCCACACGGCATATTTTGCTGTGCAGTAAACGAGCTGATGATTACATTACATGTATTAAACAATCTGCTTTGCTTCCAGAGGAAATCATAACGGTGGGAAAATCTGCACAGGTTTTCTGAAAAAGCAGTTTCCTAAGACAGGAAAGACTGGGAATTTTAAGTGGGTAGAAGAGCACTGTATCTGAGCTACCTGCTTTTGCTTATTTGTGTACTATCAGCTCCAGCTATCTGATGTTCAACATGTACCCAATGCTTTCTTAGTCATTCCAGAAAAAAAATCTGGAAGAACTTCTTTTCTTTGAAGTAAAATAAAAAGCTTAAGCTGCAGCAAAAGATTTTACATGGAAACGAACTCTTTCAGGCAGTTCTAGCACATAGTAAAGAGAAACATTAAGGAAATGATAATAAAGCAGTGGTATGAAAAGCAGTGAGAACAAAGAGTGATCTGCTGTTCTCTTTTGCAGAAATAGCTACATTTTGATGGGAGCTAATTAGTAACAGGCAAAAAAATTCTTCATGATTTTGCCTGGGAGATATTTTTTTTTTAATGGCTTGAAAGGCAAATATCAACAGGCACTGTGATGTTCACGCATGGCTACACGTGTTAAATATTAAACTGATCTGAAAACGAATGCAATATGTAAATGAAGGCCTGAATTATTCAGTTAGTGACTCTTCCCCTCCACTCAGGCACTGGACTGTGCTTCGGCTGGGGGAAGCGTCCAGCACATATCTTCGCTGGCTTAGCAAAAACCAGGACATTTTATGAAGGGTTGAATCCTATGCCCTGAAGAAGCTGGGTTTTCACAGAGCTGGAAATCATTGTCTTAAAAGAAAAAAAAAAAAAAGAGAGATGGTATGCAAACACTTCACCTCTGGCCTCTCGCGTGGAGCTCACAGCTGTCTCTGCAGCGGTACAACATCAGCACCATGCACGGGGCCTTGTTGAGGCTCCTCAATACGGATCTGGAATAAAAATAGCAGAGAGCTGTCTATTTACTGTGAGAGTAGAGTGTGGAGTGATGGAAGAAATGAGAGCATGGAGCCCAGTAAGGCTTCAACAATGACATCCGTGCAGCAGAGCCAGAACGACTCCAGCCCAGCACTTCATCAGACCAACGCTGATGCTGTTTGCTCCCTCAGCAAGTGGTCAGGAAGTGTTTTCCCCCTCCTACTCTGTTTTTATACCCTTTGCATTCAAAAGGTACATGGCCAATACTTGCCCTGCTTTTGTTCAAGGAAAATACTCGATTCACACCAGAGCCACCTCTCCACAGCAGTGGGAGCACACGTATTTCTCAGTGACCTACTGCAAAGTCACACCAGCTGACGGGAGCCTGCTCAAAACTTGCAGATATTTGCAATTTTTGGTGTTTGTTTTGCTTTGGCAGAATACAGCATTTCAGCTGCAGCCATTGCCATCTTCAGCGTTGGCTTCGCAATCATCGGAACAATCTGCGTCCTCTTGTCCTTCAGGAAGAAGAGGGACTATCTGCTGAAGCCAGCCTCCATGTTCTACACCTTCGCAGGTAAGAGGCTCAGTGCTCACATACTCATGCTCAGTTCATAGGACAACGTAGAGACACGCTGGGAGGATGGAGACACTTCTCAAAATGTCCTGAAAGTGGCGTTTTCTTCCCAGCCAGGGTCAGGCTACAAGTTCTTATGTGGTGCTCCAGTCAAGGAGCTCTGAAATTGTCCTACTCAGCAAGCATCACCCAGCAGCTGGGCTGTATTTTCTCCAACTACCTTTAAAAGGGGCATTTCTAGCATGTTCAGTGCCAGCCCCAGTCTAAACCAAGGATATACATTATTCTATCTCATTTAATAAGACTCCAACCACAGAAACAGCTGATCCAGGCCCAAAATACCCAGCTGTCTCCCAAAAACATGAAGACACATTTTTACATGCGCCAGTAAAATCTTGACGTGCCACAGTGACTGAACAACAGAGGTGCAAATTGTCACCTCCGTAAAAATCTTACCGAACCGTTGGAAAAGCTCCCTAGCGAAAGCAGTTATTCCTTCACCACTTTGAGTTTCCCATCCAAACCTGCCTAAAAGATCATGCTCAACAAGTCACCGCTGACTGGGATGGTCTGGGTTACGGCAGAGCTCCAAGCAGCTGCGAGCGTTGGTTCCTTCAAACGTTGAAGTCAATGACTCACCTGTGAATCTCACTGCGGTTCCTGTATGCTAAAAGACAGATGAGGTGGTTAATTAGGGATGAAAAATTGACAGTTGGTTATTCAACCCACCGCTCCTATCTTCCTTCAGGTCTCTGCATCATCATCTCTGTTGAAGTCATGAGACAATCTGTGAAGAGGATGATCGACAGCAAGGACACAGTCTGGATTGAGTACAGTTACTCCTGGTCCTTTGCCTGCGCCTGTGCCTCCTTCGTCCTGCTCTTCATCTGCGGCATCATCCTCCTCCTGATCGCGCTGCCTCGCTTCCCCCAGAACCCCTGGGAGACCTGCATGGATGCAGAACCAGAGCACTGATGTTCCCAGCATCCATGAAAAAAATCCGGAAAGCGTTCTGAAAAGATTTGTATTTTTTAAAATGTCTGGTCTTGCTATACAACATGCACTCCACTAACTCAGTTGTTACTGAACCAAGGCATGTGCAACTGTAATTATGGCTTTGTTTCTTCTTCTTTCTTTTTTTCTTTTGTTTTTTTTAAGACAGCAGAAAGAGCTCTCAGCACCAGCGCGGGTGGTGGGCGAATGGCACTGCTCAGTGCCAATTTGGGGATGCTTTGGGCTCGTACAGTTGGGGGAAAATCTGCGTGTGAGACAGCTCGTGCCATAGAGAAGACAGCTTTCCTGGGGAGATGTTTGGTGCAGTTGGGTGTAGATCCGTGAGAGATATCGGGCATTTACACCTCACTTGGTCAGAGCCAGACAGTGAGAAATTCGAGCTCCAGGGGGAGACCATTCCCCTATTCATGCCACACTCCTCTACCTCCCTAAGAAGGGCTGGCTCACCACTCTGGGGAAGTTGGAGATCCTTATGCTATTCTATTAGATAGTTAAAATCTGAAAAAAAAAAAAAAACAACAAATGAATGAAAAACCCCAAAATTTTACTTGGCATTGGGATAAAAATTTCTCCTACAAATTAACCCCCGGCAGTTCCATTCTTTTGAATTACTCATAAAAAACCTGCAAAATGTAGTTTTTGTTCTGCTTAAACTTTGATGGCAAAGCAAAGAAGTACTGAACGTTAAGAGTGAAATTTTCCTTTAATAAAAAGCATAATCTTCCAGTAGCATGATTTTCTGGAGAATGATTTTGATGGATGATTCACTTGGCCCATCAAATTCTGCTGGGTCCAGAATGACAGTGTAATTCTGGATGGTATTTACCGTACGGAGCTCTCGTTTCTTCCTCCTGAATGGGCTTTTTAAGAACACCGTGCTTTGCTCACAGCATAAATGTCTAAAGCTACATTTTAGGAAAAACCCTTCAAGGTAGCTGCCAAGAAGGAAAGGACTCGGACTGAAGCACCCAGGAGAATCAGTCCCAAAAATACGACAAAAGTGCCCGGCTGTTTATGCACACCTGAAGGAAGCAGCTGACGGGGGATGCTGCGGAGGCGGGTTGCGCTGCAGAGCCCCCGCAGTGCTCGGGGAGGGGGGCACTGGGGGTCCCCCAGCCCCACACACTCACCCAGCCCCTCTGGTGAGCCCTTGGCACCGTCACAGTCCCCCAGCACCAAGAGGTGGGTGGCTTTTTTTTTTTTTTTTTTTTTTTTTTTTCTTTTTACAGCTCAGTTTTCAGAATCTGCTCAGCATTTTCCCGTTTTTCCCCCACGTATGAAAAAGCATTTGGTTTAAGTTGCAGTTTTTTCATCTGATATTTTAAAAACCAGGAAAGAAGGAAACCAAAGTGTCCTTCCCTCTGCTCTTCCCTGTCCATAATTCTAAAGAAAAACAGAATTCAGAACAGAATTTTTCTGATCATTACAAAGAGATCTGAAACCGTGACATGTTCAAACATTTCAAGGAATTAGGCAGCGATTTCGCGCTGGTGCGAGGGGCTGCCCATGGCCGTGCCGTCGCCAGAGCCCGCCCGGGCACGCTGAGCCCAGCAGCCCCCAGCCAGACTCAGGCACGTCTCTGCTTCCCCATCAGTAAAGTGGCAGTGAGAACAGAAGCCTTTTGTGAAGTTGCGTTACTGTATTTCAAGCTCTTTGAAGCTGAAAAGCACTACAAATAACACACGTTTTAGAAAGTTTTGGGATGAAGCATTCATTGGTGCTCAGATGTGAGTACGAGCTGGGGAACTCTGCCTGTCTCTCATCAAGAGAGACAACTGCAAATCTTCCCAGTTGTCACTGAACCACTGTGAAACACTAAATGGTTTTGAAATCTTATTTTTGGGTACACAGCTGACATTCTTAATTTGCAATTTCATTGTTCGGGAAAAGAGAGGCCAGTTTCCAGGGAGATCCTTTACACGTGACAACAACAGAAAGGAAAGCAACTGGTGTGACCCCTGCGGTGGCCGACCCTGGGTTGGGATACCCAAACACAGAATTATCTAAGCAAAGCAGCTGGTGGGCGCAAAGGCATTCCCAGCCATCATCGGAATGACCTCACCTTGGACATGGACATGCAATGGGTTGAGATAAGCCAGGTTTGGGGACATGGGTCTCAGTTCATTACCCCATGCAGACCAGTGGCACATCTTGTGCCCCTAGGAAGCCCTTCATCGACACCTTTTCTGAAGCATCATCCCTCTCTTGCAATGCTTCTTCTGTGACAACACAATTTCTGGGTGGCTTCGTATCCTGATGGGCCAACTTGTTGTCCAGCCAAGGAGCTGCTTCCTCCCCTTCGTGATCTTCATGAGTGAGAACGTACATATTTCAGATAAACAGATCCTGGAAGGTCTCACCCATCCCATGCACACTCCCACTTGTGTCAGAGCTGAACTGCTCCGTCCAAGCTATGGCGAGGGCAATGGCAGGATTCCCAGGAAGTGTTGGGGTTTGGCCTGGATCCAGGTTTTACAGCCTCTCTGTGCTCACTTCACTCATGGGACAGAGAAAACACACAGCTCGCAGCGCAGCAAGACCCAAACCCACGGACAACAGCTCCGACAGCTAAGCTAGAAGCCTCCTAAAGCTCTTAAACTCACTTTTTTCTCTGCTCTAAGTTGAGACTTTTTGATTATTGACTCCTTCGTATGGTCCTGGCAAGACTGAGCAGCCTGTGGATGACTGCGTTTGCTGTTACCAGGTATTAAGAAATGCTGATGAGGGACTCGTCCATTAAACTGGCCACCAGTACTCACAGTGGGAAAGGCACTGCTCTTACAGCAGGTTTGTTCTGCCATATCCAGATCTCTCTGCCAGAGAGATGATAATATGTTTTGAGAGAGTTAATAAAAGTAATTTGCCTTGATAAAGGAAAAAGAATATAATGCTGGGGAGGAGCTGTAAGCAGCTGGAGTTTTCATTCTCTCAGATGAGCCAATAGCAGGGAATGGCCACCAAAATTTCAGGAATGTAGCATGAAAACGTGAAATAAACATTCTCGCTGGCAGGGAGTCAGAGTGAAACCAGGACTGCAGGGCCAACAGGACACACGTGGGTTTGGGACACGCCAAAGAACCGAGTGGGAAACACGCACCTTCGGCCGTGGCTCCTCGGGCACGCGCCACCTGCCACGTCGTAAACCAACGTCGCTGCCCGTCCTTCCTCAGGGCACCCACGCCGAGGTGCCCCGGGGCACCGCACACGACAGGCCACCGCGAGGTTTCGGCCGCCACAGCCTGCCCACCGCGCTGCAAAGCCCAAGTGTTAAATCACGGTCAACGCGGCAGAAAAGGCGAAGTTTTTTTGTTTATGTAAGAGTCAGAATTGCTGCTAGGCACAAGGCGTGGAGAGAATCTGCTCCCCTTATTTTTAAATGCTGTGTCGTGCGAATTTAATGTGCAGAAAAGGTGCCAGACTAACAACCCTGCAGAAGAAAACTGCCTGTTTAGCAAGCGGCTCGCTGAGCGCTCCCAACAGCCTTCGTCTGCAAAGAGCAGCAGCAGGAACCCAGCCCCACCAGGCAGGGGACACAGCTCGCCCCGGGCTCGCAGGCCAGCGGGTTTAGAGCACACAAGGGTGCAGAGATGGGTGCACGCAGCGAGGGAAAGGGATATGCAGAAATCTCAGTACAAAACCCTGCTTTTCCCTGAAGTCCATGCCTGAAAAGTGCCAGCAGATGCACGACGCCCGGGAGCACCCTGGCACGTAGTTTACAAAGGCACAGGTACACTCACTGCTTTTTTCCACTGATCCCTTTCCACTCTGTTGCTTCCTTGTGGCCATCACCTCTTTTTTCTCCCTACTTCAATGGTTGTGGGAATTATTTCAAGAAAGTCCCAAAGATCTGAGAATTCCTCCCAACCCTAATGCGACCCTTGGCCCTGCTGCAGAGGGGCACCTTCTCTCCTGGGTTTGTGATAGCTCTTGAGGAACATACTCAATACAAGAGGTCACCAACATCAAGACATGGCTGTTTCCAGCACTACATCCTGCCAGCCCCAGGAAGGGCCCTGGAGACTAACACAAGCCCTTGGGCTCGATCCAGCGCGCTCCAGTTGGACAGCTGCATGCCAGGAACCTGACCAACATGCAGAAACTGTTATAGTATAAACCCCATTTTAAACCTCATTTAAAACAAGCTTCAGCCTTCCATGGTAGGACAGTGCTCCTTGGAACGCTGTATTATTTTTATAACTTAAATACTGGAGTATTAGGCTGCTCTGTACCACAGGTTACACCCATGGCAACAGGATCTGTTATAAAAGCATCTATTCAAATTATTTCCCCTTTCCATTATCACCAAGGGGCAAGAAAAGAACGTCACCTCTCTGTTTTGACTGAAGTAGAGGATGAGATTGTTCTTGCTGTGTCATGCTTGAGCGATGTTCTGCTTCCAGTGAAGCTACTGAACAGGAATCCAACCCATACAGACCTCACACACACACGCTCTGCATCTCCACACAGTGAGCTGCTCTTCTGCTTTCTGCAAAAGTGCAGAGAAGGGAATAAACTCTGATTTCTGACCTACTTTCCTTTTCATAAAACCAGCAGCACAAGTCTGTTCTGGCAGGGCTGCACCCCGGGCTCTGGTGCCCACGACCCCTGCGCTGACCGAGAACACGGCGAAGGCAGAGCACAAGCAGCTCTTGTGAACGTGGTTGCCCTTCAGGAGGGATCAAGTCCTAATGGAAAATGGACTGACGTCGTCTTCTAACTAGTCTTGGATCATTCAGATCACAGAGCATTTTCTGAAATTTATCAGAAACATCTATTAATCCTTAATGAGGGAAAAAAAACCCTTAATGAGTTGCCAAAACCCCCGCGCTGAACTGATGTTTCCATGTTTGCTGTAAATCCTTTTACCTTTCTTGAATGAAAGAAAGGAACTTTGAATGATTCAGTCCTTGCTCCCTGACACAACAAACAAAAAGATACTGGAGCAAATCTTGCTATACCAACAGAAATAGCCCCTATTCCATGTCAAGGAATACGATGTGCAGATTTTTTTATAGGCACCATGGATCACCACCATCTGTCTTGACAAGTTAATTGTCTGCATTTTTTCTAGGAAA